GCTGGCATGCAAGTGTTTACAGGAACACACAAAAGAACCATTCCTTATCTATCTATTTTCACAGCATGGGAATTACATACATATTTGGGTTATGGATTTTTTTCTCTTCTTCTCCCTGGCAGAAAATCTGACTTCAAAGGCCCCCCCCCCCCAAATGGGTCTTTGAAAAGACAAAGTGCTATGAATCACTGCCTTTTATTTTCTAGCCATTCGTCAAGAAATTAATATCTTCAAAGAAACCTATCCTATAAGACAATCTACTATAATTAATTGTTCCGTTCATGTGAATAGCAGGAATGGCATTTACTGAATTTCATTTCAGTAAGAAAAAGTTTTCTTTACTAAAAGCAATTTAATATCATGAATGCTCAGTAAAAAACAAATACTTTTAATCTTTTAGTGCGCACACACAACATATGCACGCAATATTGTATATATCAATTTGTCCTCCAAATTAGGTGCAAATGAACATTTTAACGGTTACACTAAGGTAAGCCCAATCGCATGTCAAATTATGCATCACAACTTATTAATTTTATTTTGGTAAAGGTAATGGGTCTTGGTTCCCTGTTTGGTAGCCAAGAAAGTACGATTTATGTTTCCCACCCCCTGAAAGGAAACTTTAATTTTGGGGAATTGAGAGAAAATAGAAAAGCTTCATTTCATCTCCATGGGGCGGGGGCTGACATTCTAGAAATCACCACATGCATCCAAATGTCTTGTCAGGGCATGACCACCCCCCACCCCCCAATCGGCAGACCCCACCAGACGTTCTCTCAAGACAGCTGCTATTTACAGCGTGTTTTCAGAAACCAGCAAAAACCTCAGGGTTCTAATATCCCTCCCAGCGGGGCTCTGCAAAGACTAAAGATTTGTAAATCAAATCTATAAGATATTGCATACGCACCAAGAAAGTGTGTGTTTATATTTGTTAAAGATAACTGGAAGCTTCGGTTCAGCTCTGTCTGTTCTGGCATTAGTTTTCCGAGGATCCTAAAAGCGAACTTTGTCAGGGAGCACTAGGGCGCCGGCATTTGCGAGCGAGGCACCCCTCCTCCAACCGTGGCCTCATTTGACCCAACCCCGGGAGACCCCTTCCCAGTCCTGCGACGGTCCCAGTGTG